CAAAAATAGAATCACTCATTACTGTAATCGTCACACATCCTTTTTACAGGAAAAAATGGAAACATACTGAAACTCTATACATGAGTTAAAGGACATGTTTCCTCCCTGAAGGTTCTGATGATGGAGGCGACGGTGAAGCGACTCCTCCTCCTCCTCCTCCTCTTCGACCTATTCCTTCATTTCTCTGTGGATCCATTGTTCCAAAGCTCAGTGAACTGATTCAGGCCCTTTTATCTATTTATTGAAGGATCTGATTAATGCGTGTTCAATTTTGACTCTTAGTGTTTCCATCTGGGTAATTGTTTTCTAATTGAGCTTGAGTGAACAGTATTGAATGCTAGTGCTTTCTAAATGACCACATGGTGTAAGCACTGAGAAATGTAGGGATTTGTGTGTAGAGTTTTGCAGTAACAGTTCACCAAATCTGACTCATGTGTTAAAGCAGGGGAATAGTGTTTATAGTTCAGCAAAATGGGCGTGCTTTTTGAAAATTGGCATTATGGTTTTGAAATTTTAGTTCAAAAGCCTGGTTATAGTGTTTTAGCAATCGAGAAAAACTGTAATATTTGGCAATATTATTGACTTGAATGCACGGACACTATTAGCTGGATGATGACGACGACATCACGGTTTTCTCCAAAGCTGCTTTATAGATGAATTAAACTCATTACAAAATCGATGAACTATACAAAGCTATTGAACTGAACTGAATCAACAATGAACAGATTTTATCTGAAAAATGACTGTTTCCTATTGTCTTTTTAGAGATGCTTTACAGCAGAACTGAATTCGGTTTGCATCATTGAATCATTGTTTTCCTGTCACTGTAAAGCTGCTTTGAAATTTGTCTAAAGCACTATATGAATAAAGGGGACTTTACTTGACTATGTTAGGATGCTTTATGTTGATTTCAACACTGTCATGCCATCCAAGCTGATCTCAAAGCTCAGTAATCTTGGTACAAGCATTTCCCTTTGCATTTGTTTGTTAGGCTGAGCAACCATAACCATAGCCGCGGGAACGTATTTTGAGCAGGGGGTGCTGAGAAAATGGTTTGGTCACGTGAGGAGATTGATGCGAGACACTATGATCCAAAAGTGCAACTTTTGTTAATAAGTTTAATTTCTTCATTTTAGATAAGCCAGTTTGTCTTTATTGTTGCGGTGTTCTCATTAAAAAAAATAATAATAATAATAAATATATATATATATATATATATATATATATATATATATATATATATATATATATATAAATAAACAAACAAACAAAACAATGCACCACAAACTATGCATTTGTTTTAATGTTTTAAAAGTGATAAAAGTCTTTATTTATTTGGGTTAACCTTCAACGCAAGTGGCATCCGTCTTATTCATTTTGTTAATAAAAGTTAGATGTTTAATATAGGCCTATGCGAATTTGCCATTGTACTTTTTTAATGGCTGATATGTTTTATTAATAGGCTAATAATGAACCACAAACTATGATCATTTTACACGTAAAGAAAGGGAAAAATCCAAAGACTGTTTATTTAGCCTATTTATGTTACAATGCCGGTAAAACATATTTTCCTTATTCATATTGTTAATAAAAGTTCAAAGTTTAATAGAAGTGAATTTGTCATTGTACTGTTTTATTGTATAGCATTTTTAAATTATTATTAATAATAATAGAGCCACAAACTAAGCATTTATAATCCATAAACCTTTTATTTATTTGTTACAACGCAAATGTCTTATTCGTTCTAATAAAAGTTTTATGTTTAATATAATTACTTTGCCATTGTAGTATTTGTGATGTTGTGTGTGGGACTTTTTTTTCATTAAGAGTAATACTGAATCAACCTTAAGCGGTAATTTTGTTCCAAGAATAGGAAAGATCTAACGTTAAACATCAAAATAATCGCTGCAGATGCGAGATTGGTTGCTGCAGAGGTAAATAGACACTCTCGATCTTTCTCTGCTGTATTTTTGCAATGGCTGTAGAAATGGTCGTTAATTCTTGATTTGGGTACGGCACAGACATGTTACAGGTAATAATATGATCAAAAAGTCATGGCAACAAACGACTTCCTAAGTCAGTTTAAGTTGAAACAACTTTCACAATTAATTTGAGTCAACATAATTCATGTTTTACTGTTGCTTATTGTCATTGTAGGTTTATGATTATTTTTTTTCTATGAATTTTAATGAATATTAAAATTAATAAAATTAGTTTTATTTATTTTGTTACAAAATTTCCATTTATTTTTAACACTGCACCCCCAGCCCCCATTTTTTCTTGGACTGCAGCACCCCTACTTCCCGCAGTAATGACCATAACTCCTCCACCCTCTCTCCGAACACTGGTGTACCACAGGGCTGTGTGCTGAGCCCAATCCGCTACTCCCTATTCACCCATGACTGCATACATATACATACACACACACACATACATACATATCATATAATGAATACATATAATACTTAAACTTACTCAGAATAATCAGTATAGGCATCAGCCAATTCAGACGGCAAGAAATCATCAATTGTATCAGCTGTAAAAATTCTGATCAGAGCATCACATCAGTCAACAACAGGCAGTACTTGTGAAAAGCAAACAGTGTTTTTATAAGGCTGTATGTCTCTGGTCAAAACCTCCTCTCATTCACTGGACTCCAGGATAGCTGATCTGCTTAGTTTTTGTATAAGATCAGTTATTTCATACACTCATGGATAGGGATGGGTACCGAGAACTGGTATTTTCTGGACCGGCCACACCAGTGTCAGATGCAATAAAATGTATGCAGTAGTGTAATAGTGAACAAATGAGGGCAACACTAGTAATATAATGAAACCTTTACAAACAAAACCCGCCATTTAGCTCAAGCAATGTGCTGTATTTCCTCTGTCTCCGTCATCTCCCGGCTCCAGCTCCCCTGCCTTAAGCGAAGCTAACATTCATTATAAATTAAGCGTGGAAGATGACCCCTGAAAAGACGGCAGAGTTTGAGGTCGCCATTAAAGAAAAAGTGCAGTGTGATCTATCCAAACGCTACCAGGTGTAAAAAAACAAAAAAAAGACCACTCATCATAATGACAATTCATACACAGCTGTCTGTTGCCTATAATAAGACTGCCAATATGAGTTAGTGATTAATTAAATAATAAAAAAAAAAACTTACAGGATGATGATGTGATGGCATTCCCCAAGGAGGCCACGGTCATGGACCCGCGATTCAAGACAAAGGTGACAAAGAGTGAATTCTGGGATTGAGTATTCGAGGTAGCAGTGAAGGAAGGAAGTACTGAATACATATTTTCTTTAATTTGAAAGCACTAGAGGAAGAGAACAGAGAGCTGAAGGAACTCCTCATTCAATAGCAACACACTACACCGACCCTCCATGAGAAGATGAAGAGTGAAGTGTCAGTCTACAGAGCCTTGCCTCCCATCCCCATGTCTGAAGACCCTGTCCTCAGGTGGTGGGATAAGAAAGACACTTTACCTTTTCTCTTCACCATCTACCTGTGTTTTCATGCTTCCTCAACTCCACACAAAAGAGTGTTCTCGACACCTGGGGACACTCTCTGTGGGACTCGAGACCGGTGTGTGGCACAGGTGTCCCTCATTATCATTCACTCCACCAGCCTCGCTCCATTCCCACAGCTCTCGGCCCTGCCCCACTCGTCACAGAGAGATTGCGCCTGCTCCCTGAGAAATATGTTAATTTTCTGAAATAAAAATGGCTAGAGATGCCAGAATTCTCTATTACAATCTGTTGTGCTCCTATGCACATGCTGTTCAAATATGTTGTGCTGTGGTATGCTGAGGAAATCTCTCTCTCTCTCTCTCTGACATTTTTATTTAAAAAATTTGCTTTGTTATGTTTTTTTTTCTGTTTGTTTAGAGGCATTTGTAAACTGCAGTACTAAAGTTCAGCAGTAATAAAATAACTTTTTCAACATCTTTTCACATCATGTCTTTTTGCAGCAAATTATAGAGTGTAGTATCGATGACAGTATTGATAAGTACGGTATCGGTATCGATAAAATGTAAACGATTCCCATCCTTACTCATGGATGGACTTACCAATGGACTTGACTGGGCTTAAATCGAGAATGCGGCCCCACTTTACCTGTTTATGTTCATTTGATTTGTTCAGTTAAATGCCAGTCAGAAATTATTAACTGCATTTCCACTGTTGGGCAGGTTTGAGCAAGGGCTATAAACGGGCCAGCCAGGGCTAATAGCCTCTGATTGCAAGCTTCAAGACCATAATCAAACGGCATTATTTCAGAAGGACACACTTACTGAATCATGTCTGCTCCCTTTTATCACATGGCCACTTTAAACAGCTCCATTAAGGCTTTTAGCCCAAAAGAGTGCACATTTACAAACAAATATTGATAAAGTGTCATGTATTCCTATATGTGTTCCTGTGGCTCAGTGGTAGAGCATTGCGTTAGCAGTGCAAAGGTTGTGGGCTCAATTCCCAGGGAACACACATACTGATAAAAAATGTTTAGCCTGAATGCACTGTAAGTCGCTTTGGATAAAAGTGTCTGCTAAATGCATACATTTAATTTAATATATTCATGCCTGATTTCTTTACATAGAATGATAATTTCTATTAATATTCCACTAAATTATGTGATAAATTATGTGCTGCACTGCATTTCCACCTGCATTGTGAACATGTACACAGCATGTGGAAACATATTGTTTGTGTGTTGTTTAAGCAGACTGTGTTTATCTACTGTTGCGCAATGTTATGATGAGTTTGTGCATTATATAGATGATATATAGTCTATATTGATAGACTGACATGTTATTTGCCTACCTCCAGCGAGATGGGATTTTCTCTGGTTTCTGATCATGATTGGCAGCTTATGCATGTGATGTTTATGAGCACTGCTCTGCCTTCCCTTTCAGATGCGGTCGCTGCAATCCCATAATGCCCTGGAATGAGTGCGGATTATGTGTTTGTCTCTCTCGCAAATTGAGAATAAAGCCGTAGCTCTTCATATCTCTGCTGCTTGGCTGGGCGCAGGAATGAGCGCGGCAGTGGTGCACAGAGGATTCCTCAGGAAATATGGTAAAGTTTGGCTCTGATTTACCTCTGCCCTCTTCTTTTTATTTTTGTTTCTTATTTTGTTCCCTGATGTTTTAGTCACATTTGTGTGCTAGTCATTATGCTACTTATTAATTAATCTGAAAATAGTTTTAATTCAATTATTTAATTTTCTTGTTGTTGCTTTATTGCTTTGTTCCAGTGTCTATCTAGTAATTTGTTAATTTTATGTTGCACAGATTGTTGGTGACACTGTAAATCGAATATATTTTCATTGAGCTTATTTGGTTTTAGTCATGGTAGACTTTGTATACTTTTTACAACTTTCTACTTTTTAAAGGTATTTGAATGGCTTACCTGATGCAAAAGTGGAGATGTGTTCTTGTAAATGATCATGACACGTTGAATGGAGATTAAACGAGTGTGACATTATGATTCACACTGCCGATATTCAGTCCAGAATGTAATGCTACATTTATCATAAAATCACTAGCTTTGACAGCTTTTGTAAAAGACAGTGTAGAATAACTGAAAAATTTGTATTTCAATCAAATAATAGGATGACATCTCTGCTAGCAGACATGTTTATAAAATTGCACATTTATTCAATTGCAGTGATCTACACAACATATCCATCGAAAAATAGATACCCATCATTATACTTTAATGTCAGTCCACCTGATGTTTAAATCATCTATCATCTGTTTTTTGCTCTTCATCTGTTGCTTTCACAGCATAAAGTGTGTCAGCTCCACCTGTCCATATTGCATCTAGCCTCTGTATGTCTCGTATTTAGGTCAAATAACGATGATGATGGGGATGACAATGACAACATTCATAACAACTTAGTTTAACAGACTATAATAACAGAGAGCACGTTTACATGCATACTAATACACTGATAACTCACAAAAATCAGCTTACTGAAATAACCTGTTGTCCCAGTTTACATGCAAACCCGGTAATGCAAGTAAACCGCGTTTACAAGACTTTATTAATAAATCAGTTTATTTCCTGGTAGTGACGTCACAACATAATTTCCATATCTAACTCCAAGTATTTAATTTGTTATGTTGGTTGTCATTTTATATAAATTGTTAAAAACTGAAGAAGAGCATTGCAACATGTCAGCGGGAAACTTACAGCTCATATATTATCCTCTTATGATGCAGCATTTGATTTGCACCACTTCTATTTCTGCTGCACGAGATGAGAGCACATTTTTATAATTCTTTGGGTCAAGAAAGTGTCTAAGTTTGCTGTATATTTCCTCCTCCCTTACTGCAAAATGTTTGCTCTGTCTGACTGTGCTTAAGTCGACAGTAAGGATGCGTTCCTCTCACATATCACACATGCGCACTTCAATGAACTGACAGAAAGCAGGTTAATGCATTTACATGCTGGGCGAAAGCCGTTTATGACCTTACTACGATAAAGGAAAACAGGTTAATGCATTTACTTGACTACATGCATTGTCAGTTCATTAAGCATAACTGGGTTAAGAAGATGCATGTAAACGCACTCAGTATCAAATCAAAGGCACATGTCCCTAATAAAAGCCATGATGAACAGAAACCATAGAAAAAAAAACAATTATATATATATAATTTCCTGTAGCTCAACACCAAGGTCATGGGTTTGATTCCCAAGAAATGCATGACCCCAAAAAAAACATATATGCTAACAGTATTTTAAGTATCTCCATGAACCTGATACTTTCAGCCTGAAGTGGAATAAATATAATTGTTAGAAGGTTTTGCAGTAACTTTTTCAAAAGATACAATGCAATGAATAAAATTTTAGACACTTTTTTTTTGTAAATGGGGAAAAATTGTGCACCTCTTTTTTTTCTCTAAGGGGGCTTCATGTTCAAGCAATGGAAGGAAAAGTACCTGGTGTTGACGGTGGAAGGAAATCTGATGGTGTGCCGAGATGCAGACTCACCTCCGGACCAGGTGGTGGCGCTGCAGAGTAACTGTGAGTCCATAGTGGAGGGTAAAGAAATCTTGGACTTGCCCCGTTTGCCCTCTGGAGGCCGCAGAGACAGCTGCTTCGCCCTCATCCTGCCCCAAGACAAGTTCCTCCTCCTACTGTCAGACAGTCCAGATGAATGCACGTGAGTTCATGTCAAACTCAAATCAGGCGCATTAGCTATTTATTAGACATTGTGCCGTCATCCTTTGTGGACAACACTCTGTGTGTGCACTTTACCACATCCAGCTGATGGATGTTGATTTATGTTTAGAGAAATTTCAGCAAATGTTAGTGAATGTTAAAAAAGTAAAAGTTTTTGTCTCCAACAGTCAGTGGCTGAAGATACTCAGGAAGGTGAAAGAGGTAAGTTCTTACATTTCATTTCCACCAAATATACAGAAAGATACAGTTACAAATATACAGTTAGTAAAAATAATGCACATATAAGCATTTTCATATGTGGTCTTATTATTTTGGACCCCATTTATGCAATATAAATTAATACTTTTATTCAGCAAGAATGCATTAAATTGATCAAAGTGTTTCACGGTTTCCCCAAAAACATTCAGTAGCACAACTGTTTTCAACATTGATAATAATCAAAAATGCTTCTTGAGCAGCAAATCAGCATATTATACTGATTTCTGAAGGATCATGTAACTGGATTAATGATGCTGAAAATGTTACAATATTCTACAATATATTCTACAATTAATAATTTTACAATATATTCACGGATACAATATATAGAAAACAGCTATTTTAAATTGTAATAATATAATAATAATATTATTACATAATATAATATAATATAATATAATGTAATAATATCACTGTATTTTTTTATCATATAAATGTAAGGGTATATAAATATAAGAAATAAAAATATAATAATTCCAAAAATGTTTTGTGTCCTGATAACATTTAGTTTTACTTTTTTGAGAGGTTTATATTATGTTTAGTATTTAATTTCTGGCAAGTCTTGTCACATACATGAAATGGACATTTGATAAGACTTTACATGAATTTTCAAATCTATTTTTCTTCTTATTATTATTATTAGTAGTAGTAGTAGTATTATTTCTTTATGGCACTCCAAAATTTGCAATCTTGGCATATTAAGTATATTTTTACAAGGAAAACAACATTGTATTCACTGCCCATCAATGCAGTTCAAATGCCTTGTATATGGGGCCAAACAGCAGGATTATTCTCGATTAATGTTATGTAATATGTCATGTGGCAGTGCCTTCACAAGTTCCTATATAAATGATAAGTGTTGCAATCTGTCATGACGGCCAAGCCGAACACTTTGCCATCCTTAATCTTTGGAATAGAAATCCTTTTTCATGAGGACTCCGTATGCAGTATATTTGCTCATTTCAAGGGCACCCTCTTTCTGCTCAGGGTGTGACTTCACCACTTGCCCTGAAGAGACAGCAGAGCATCACACCATGCATCACGGACAGAGAGCCACTTCCAGACATCTCTAGTGACAAAGACCCCTCATCCCCCCGAGTCCGCTCCAGAGAAAACTCCTTCAGACACAGAGGTGCTAACTAGCCTTTAACATTAACATTCATGTCAATGGCAGTTTACGTAAATGTAACCTCAAAAATGGTTTGGTCAACAACAATAATGATAATGAGTTATAATAAGTTCATGTGTTAATTCACTTAAGGCCTGTAATGGTCAAGCATCTACAGTAGAGCAGCTGTAGGCACAGATGAAGTTATGAAGCCACTTCTTGATGATAATGGTATTTATTAAATCATCACTGTCCATGGTTTTGTTTTTTATAAGAGCACACTTGCACAAACAGTCTCCTGTGATGTCTCTCTCTCTCTCTCTCTCTCTCAATTCATATTGATTTATTGGCATGATATACTTAGGTACATATTGCCAAAGCATTGTACATAGCAGAATAAAAACAAACAAAACAAAAATACATGTAAAATACATCCATATATATATTTATATAAACATCGATGGTACTACTAATGCAGATGTGTTCACTCTTTAACTCTTAGCTTGTGGCATTTATAAATATAATGTGCTACCAAAGAGGAAGTAGGTCCTTCACCAAGTAATATTCTTAATTTGTCGTGTTCATGGAGCGACTTGAACTCAGGAATGTTCTGCTGTATTTGACTGTACATTGAGTCTCGGATGTGTATTTGTCACAGTTAAGGAGGAAGTGTTCCTCCGTCTCATCTGATCCTGACTACCATCTCTCTTTCTCTCTCTCTCTCTCTCTCTCTCTCTATCTCTATGCTGTAATCTGTTAAGCATGTTTAAGCATGTTTTTCTGCTTATTCTTTCTGCTATGTGCAGCATTTAGGTCTCTCTTAAAATGGCGGTTGCCGTAAGACTACAATGGAGTCACAGCAAACACTAATATTTAATTTAAAACACAAATCTTTTCCATAGAAGCTATATACAGTATATATAGCAACATGCTTGCTTAGACCTTTGTTGTGATAAACAGTAAAGTGTGTTCAAGCGCTAGCAAAAGACAGACAGTGTAAAGAAATACTCTTTGAGAGAAGCAGTCAATCAGTGGAAGTTAAAAGCAGATTGTAAGTGTATTTATTTCTTGTCTCATTAGTGTTTAGCGCAGTTGTCCTTGCTAGGAAACGCTTGTTTGTTTACCGTTTTGAGACATGCTGAAGTTGTGTTTGGTCTCGTACTCTATCGCATACCTTGTCAGTGTTGTGCGCTTGCTTAGACCTTTGTTGTGATAAACAGTAAAGTGTGTTCAGCTGAATTTCTGTTTTGTCCGATGGGTATAAAAAAAGGTTAGTATACTGCGGCAGCCCTCCTGTTAAGCCCTCCTCGTATGAAGACCGAAGAGTGTTAAGACCATCGACTCTACCGTGCGACTCCACCGGCAAAGGATATAAGTATCGCTTTTGATTCATTCTTTTTCCTACTACTTGTTTCACTTCTGTTTCAGTTTTTATAACCAATTCTTACTATGTGTTTCCAGATCCCTACTTTCACTACCACTTGCAAACCACGTTTCACACACTATAGGCAGCGCAATCCTAACAACCTGCACACTTTGTCTATGTCTGCTAATACACTACTTTCTTTTTCTATTGGTCTCTGGAATTGCCGGTCTGCTGTAAACAAAGCCAATTTCATTACTTCTATTATTAGTCATTCAAAGCTAAATCTCATGGCCCTGACAGAGACCTGGATCAAACCAGAGGACACTGCTACACCTGCAGCACTGTCCAATAATTTTCTCACTCCCCCCGTTTGACTAGAAGAGGTGGAGGTACTGGTCTGCTTATCTCTAATGATTGGAAATTTAATCCTTTACCATCTTTGGGTATCAACAGCTCCTTTGAATCTCATTCAGTTACTATTACCTACCCTCTTAAAATCCATTTTGTAGATGTTTATCGACCCCCAGGACCACTAGGTAATTTCTTGGATGAATTAGGTGTGCTGCTCTCAACCTTTCCTTAGGATGGTACTCCCCTAGTCATGCTTGGAGACTTCAACATCTACCTAGATAAACCTCAGGCTGCAGACTTCCACACTCTGCTTGCATCATTTGATCTCAACAGAGAGTCAACTACTGCTACTCACAAATCAGGCAACCAACTGGACCTTATTTACACACGACACTGCTCCACTGATCATGTACTGGTTATTCCACTGCACACCTCGGATCACTTACTCCTCACTCTTAACCTCATCATGGTTCCTGACACAACACATACCCCTCCACATGTCATCATTCGAAGTAACCTATGCTCACTCTCACCCTCCCGGCTATCTGCTATGGTTTCATCTTCGCTTCCTTCCCTAAACTGTTAGCATCTTTTGATGCTAACCGTGCTACTGATACTTTCTGCTCCACTCTTACATCTTGTTTAGACACTGTCTGCCCCTTGTCTTCCAGACCAGCCAGTACCACCCCTTCTGCCCCTTGGTTATCTGATGTTCTCCGCAAACATCGTTCTAAGCTCAGGGCTGCTGAAAGGGTGTGGCGTAAATCCAAAAATCCTGCTGACCATAATGTGTATCAGTCACTCCTCTCTTCCCTCTCTGCTAATGTCTCCACTGCTAAAAGGACATAGTGCCATAACAAAATTAACAATTTGTCTAACTTTCGGATGCTTTTTAAAACATTTTCCTCACTCCTTTGTCCTCCCCCTCTTGCATCAATTCTAATAGCTGACGACTTTGCCACGTTTTTCATTAATAAAATTAAAAACATCAGTGCATAATTCTCAACACCACAATCTGTCAAGCACATTTTACCAGCAAACATACACTCATTCACATCCTTCTCTTTACTCTCTGAGACAGATGTCTCCAAACTCATCCTTTCTAATCATCCTACTACTTGTCCACTTGATCCTATTCCATCTCATCTCCTTCAAGCCATTTCTCCTGTAGTTGTACCTGCACTAGTCATGCGCGGATGAGCTAAAACGTCACCCGAATCCGCAGCTTCAAATAAATTATCCACCCGCCAACCGCCCGCACCTGTATTTTTGTCTGATTTAGATAACCGCACCCGACCCCGTATCCGATCATCACATTAGGGTTTGTACGGTCGTGAAAAACCTGGAAAAGTCATTGAACAGCAATTTCCAGGCCTAGAAAGTTTTGTAAGAATAAATAAACTCAAAAAGTTTTTGAAAAGTAATGAAAATCTATTTCACAAGTCTCTGTATAATAGAATTATGTTTAATCAGATCCTGAATTTCATTGCGGGATTGCGCATACATCGCATTGCTCATTCCCGCAGCTTTAGACTTTAAAATTAGGGAAATTACTGCAAAACCTTTATTCAATATAGCGTGTAGGTTAGATGAGTAAATAAATCCACACAAACCATCAGATGAAAACAGCGTAAGTGATTCAGCTGTACCGGGTCTTCTCTCTCTGACTTTCGCTTCACATCGACGCATCTAGGGCTGCTGCACTCTGCGATAGAAGACTTTAGCTCGCGTTTCGGGACAGTTGACAGAATTGTCAATTGCCTAATCGGTCATTGTTGCATCGTCACAAAAATGTATTATTTTCACGTCTTTTTAAGCCATTCGGTACTCGCGCTCTCCAGAGGCGCGCTCACAGTCACATCCAAAGCGCGTACTGCGAGTACCAAATTTAGAAAGTACTGTCGGTTTTGTCTTAAGTTAATGTAAACAGTTGCAAAATAAAATGCATGAGTATCAGTATTGGATCCGTGAAATAGGTCTTGTGACAGCAGCCTAATAAAGCTGTGCCGTCTTTAATTAATGTTAATCAAACAACAAAAGACAGAAAATCCCTTACTGCTCTTGACTAAATAATGTTTTGTTGAATAACTTTTAATGTTAATTTACAGTTTATTAAATTTCTGTAGCCTATTTAAAACGTTCATAATTTAGAAAATGTAGTTAATACTTGCATCATTAATGATTTATTTTATCCACCCCGCAACTCACCCGCAAATAATCAAAATGCATTTTTTTATTACCCGACCCACCCGATCCGCGGATTATCCGCAGCGCCCATGGATAAAACCGCCATCCACGCATCACTAACCTGCACTCACATCATTAACATGTCCCTTCACACTGGTGTCTTTCGCTCAACATTTAGACAGGCTTGTATAACCCCACTACTTAAGAAACCTGCCCTTAACCCATCTCTTTTAGAGAACTACAGACCGGTTTCCATTCTTCCTTTCATTGCAAAAACACTTGAACGAGCTGTGTTCAACCAAGTCTCTGCCTTTCTCACACAGAACAACCTCCTTGACAGCAACCAGTCTGGTTTCAGAAGTGGGCATTCAACCGAGACTGCCTTGCTCTTAGTTGTTGAAGCCCTAAGACTGGCAAGAGCGGATTCCAAATTTTCAATACTTATTTTGCTGGATCTGTCCATTGCTTTTGACACAGTTAACCACCAGATCCTCCTGTCAACCCTATTGGCAAAGGGCACCGCACTCCAGTGGTTTGAGTCTTACCTATCAGATAGGTCCTTCAAAGTATCTTGGAGAGGTGAGGTGTCCAAGTCGCAACATCTAACTACTGGGGTGCCTCAGGGTTCAGTTCTTGGACCACTTCTCTTCTCTGTCTACATGGCATCATTATGTTCTGTCATTCGGAAACATGGCTTTTCATACCACTGCTATGTTGATGACACTCAACTCTACCTCTCATTCCATCCTGATGATCCGACGATAGCTGCTCGCATCTCAACTTGTCTAACAGACATTTCTTGCTGGATGAAGGACCATCACCTTCAACTCAACCTTACCAAGACAGAACTGCTTGTGGTTCCAGCAAACCCATCGTTTCATCACAACTTCACCATCCAGTTAGGCACATCAACCATAACTCCTTCAAAAACAGCCAGAAACCTTTGAGTTATGATTGATGATCTGCTTACTTTCTCAGACCACATTGCTAAAACTGTTCGGTCCTGCAGATTTGCTTTATTCAAAATCAAGAAGATCAGGCCCCTTCTTTCGAAACATGCTTCACAACTCCTTGTTCAAGCTCTTTTTCTGTCCAGGCTGGACTATAGCAATGCTCTCTT